TGAAAACATTTCAAACTTTTTAAAAGTAATTTGTTAAAAAGGCATGTTGTACAAAACCAAAGTAAATTTGTACTTGTTGTATTATAAATTGTACTGTAAGTTGTAAATCTTTTCTTTTTTCAAATCCTTTAGACTTTTAGAATATATACTGCCATAAATTTTGTAGCATCAGACATATGCAAAGGCGTGACATTTTACTTTAGCAGGTAAATTTATGTTAAAAAGTTGAGGAAAAAAATCCTGGAATTAACAAGATTTTAATACCCTTTTTTTCTTCATCTCCTAGATATACGCTAAACAAGTCATTAAGATACGATTTCCCGATTGTTTCGTTTCTATTTTTTTGTTGTGAATAAGAAAGTACAAGTATACGTTTAATTTTTAATTCTATCTTTCAGCTGGAAAATTTATTACTGGCCGCAGTTTAGTAAATTTGACTTAATCTGCTGCAATAAAGACAAAGTCTAGAAAAAAAATATATGTATATCAGAAGGAAAATTTTTCCTCGTCTGCAGCAACAAAAGAACTTTCCCTTTGTAGAGCAAATTTTTGGCTTTCAAGTAAGAAATTTTTATTTCTTTGGTGTTAATACACAAAAGGTATGTTTAATTAGTTATTATAGATTTAGCTCCAAGAGAAATTTAGTTTTTAATTTTACTCATTATTTTCTTTTTATTCTTTTAGTATTATAAAAATTCCCAGTGCAGAGCGTTACAAAGCCGACTGATAAAACGCTATATAGCTGCTATATAGAGTTTCTAATTTCCCGGACTTTTTGCAATCCCGGCAATTGACTTTTAAAATTTTCATTCCCGGGAAATTTATAAAATTTATTAGTATGCAACCTTTTAAAGACACATTGTATTTTTTATAAATTTCGGTAATTCTGTATTATTAGAAATTTATTTTATAAATTCTATGAATATTTTCAAAAAATAAATATCTTTTTTTTTAAAGAGAATTGCATTTCGATCAAAAGCGTTATAATTTCTTTCGTAATAAAGCAACTTCTATTCTCAAAACAGGAATTGAAACTATAATTATTGTTTTTTAACGTTTTATTCAAATCAAATTATGCAAGAGTTTCCTTAATTTATCAAATATTTTAACAAATTTATGAATAAATCTTCAAATGGAATTCCCGAAATTTCCCGACAAAACTATCCCAGGATTTACGAAAAAAAAAAATATTACTGGAAATTTTTACATTTTTAACAAATTTATGAATAAATCTTCAATTGGAATTCCCGAAATTTCCCGACAAAACTATCCCGGGATTTACGAAAAAATGCTACCGGGAATTCCCGGGAAAATTTTCCCGCTTAGAAACACTACTGCTATACTATAGCTGGTACGCACTGTACGAACTTTTTGCTTAAACAATTGTACAGCGACTTGAACATTTACTTTAGAACTATGTTTGGAATATTTTCCAACGATTTGCAATCGTAAAACGACACATTTTGTTTCAAGGTGCTATGGTATTGGGTGAACCTAAGTACTTATATTTATTACTAGGTATACCCAGTGTCTTCGCTACCCCAGGTTAGGTTCGCTAGTAAGCAAGTTCACTCAGAGGCCTTGTGGTCCATTGTGTCATCTATCGATTTTGATAGGATCGTCAGGGGAGTGTGAATATCCTTTTGCGCAAGGGCGAAGTCTAGGGACGACCCTTTGGTTGTGCATTCATCAGATATTTCATTTCTCCGGATGCCCCTCATGTCATGGAACCCATATCAATTCAACATGATGTTGTGTCAGTTGTGCCAATGATTGAATACAATTGAGAAGACATTTCGACTTAATAACATTGGAGTTAAGAGCCTCGATTGATGCAAGGCTGTTCAAGTATGTATGTATAGTCGAATTTTCGAGATTTAGTTCCCGGATTCTTCTCGCCGCTGTATCGATGGCATATATCTCTGCTTGAAGGACCGTGTAGGTGTCGAGAGGAGTTATATTTAGCATCGTCTCTAGCCTGAGGGGTGCAGCTCAAACAGCTAGTGATTGCAAGACATTCTTACTAATCTTTGTATCTTGTCTAGAATAGAGAGGCGGTGTACATCCAGCGCACAATGTATGGTTTAAGACCCCATCTTTTCGCAAAGGTTTTCTTACATATATAGGAGGCAATAGTGCCTTCTTCATTCCACTCTCAGCATTACGTTCCGCGAGAGCTTAGAGTCTAAAATATGCCGAGATATTTGGCTTCGCTTGAGGTTTTCAGAATGGTACCATCCAAACGCGGAGGTCTGAATTCTGTAATTTTCTACCTCCTGGTGAAAGAACCAGTTCGGTTTTGGCCGGGTTGACACCCAGACCGTTTTCCTGGCCCATGATAGCAGAACGCTGAGGGCCGATTCCATGAATTCACTTATTGTGGGAAGAAATTTGCTTTGAATAAGAAGCACACGTCGTTAGAATATGCTACTTTGAAGCACATCCTACTGAGTCTGAAAAGGATTTTATTTACGACAAGATTCCACAGGAGTGGAGTCACAACTTTCCTTGTCTTGCAAAAAACCCATATTAGAATTAATGGCTCAGCTATTGAGCATGTTTTCTGTGCAATTTTTTATCCGCTGATGACACCTAGGTTACCCAATGCATCGGCTATTGTGTACACGATCACGTTATTAACGCATCCTCTATGTCCAAGAGGGATGCCATAACATATTATTTTATGCCAAGTACTTTCTCTATAGTTCCTATAACGTCATGTAAGGCCGTCTCCACTAACCTCTCTTTCAGGTATGCGTGTTGTGCCCCACAGAAATTATCAGGAGAGATGTTGTTCCAATCTTTCCAATGTTTTCGGTCGGTCGGTCTATAGCCTTTGGCCGTAGGTAGGTCAAGAAGCTGCGAACTGATCCAAAGTGGAACCTTCAATTTCATCATCTCTGCAACCCGGAAAGTGTGTCTCCATAAGCAGTTCCAGAGTTTCAGTGCTACTTTCAGTAAAGTTACCACACGGTTTCATCAGGAATCTTTGGATAGCACCTTATGTAGTCGTAATGCATCCGTGGTACTCTCCAGTTCACCATAGAAACGCTTCCAAGATTACTTCTTAGCTCGTCTGGTTTCCCTCTTGAAGGTGTTGAAGATTTGATGATAATCGTTCCAGCTTAGCGGATGTTATTAAATAGTTTCCTACATTCTTTTCTGAGCTGCATTAGTTTAGGATTCCACCACGGAATTTCCTAGATACCTGCCACTCCCTACATGAAGCATAGTAAACTTCATTTAAAGTCCTTGATAGATAATCTACTCTACTAGTCGTCCAAGTCTTGTGTTCCATATATATATATATATATATATATATATATATATATATATATATATATATATATATATATATATATATATTTGTGGTGGGATATAACATTCGCCATAGCTAAATATATAACACTATTACTTGTTAATACTTACTAATCAGAATTAAAGATAATGTTGTGCATAAAACCATTAACCCCATTAACATTTGCGGTTTAATTTGTTTAACTTGATTCTGTTAAATATGTATTTTTAATTTATGTTTGATAAATTCTTTCAAAATGAAGAAAACTACGTTCATATACATATATGTATTTATGGAAAATTAATTTACCATGCACAATCAGTCTTGCCAACTTAGTGCTTTTCGCACTATTTATGGTGCTTTTCAAAAGGCACTATAGTTAAGTGCATTTCTTATTTTATGATAATGCACTTAGTGCTTCTTATAACATTCTTAACCTTACTTAAAATTTTTTAATTTTTAATTGTTTTTCTATTGGAAATGTAAACAAATTGTATCAGTTAAACATTTCACACTAAGGTAATAAATTTTACATAAATTTTTGCAAAATATGTATGAGGATTCTTGCTCTAATAATTTTCCGCATTTACGAATTTTTGTATTAAATTCATAACGGAGGTGAGACCCCTATTTGCTAGACCGCCAATTTATTACCCAAGTGATTATATGAATGTCATTGTTGTTCGTACAAAATTTGAGGATTTTAGCTCTAAGAGTTTCCCAAATAAATTAATAATTTAATTCACATGGGAGGTACCCACGCCCCCTATTGCTAGTACGGCAATTAATTAGCGAAATGTTTACATGCATGTAATTAATAATTAATCTATATGGGGGTGCCAAGCCATTGCTAGTCCGCCCATTTATTTTTCCTAAATATTCATGTTGATACTAAAAAATAATAAATATTTACTTTATATGTGTACCGCCCAATATAGGCATTCCGCCCATTTTGCCTCTAAATATTCATATGGATGTCAAAGTTGTCCTCACAAAATGTGTAGCTGTCGAATTTGACATCCCTGACTAAGAAGTGTTTTTGCAATTTTATAAAAATAAACATTATTTTACCACAAAACAATATTTTTACATTTTTTCAGTTAAAAAATTACGCCTTTTTACCCCTTTTCTAATTTTTTGCGAGCGTTTTGCTTGATCATTGTTGCAACACTGTGCACAATGGGCGATGAATTTCAAAATGAATTAGTTCAATAGGAACTAAAATCCTCTTGTCAAATTTTATGAGGATCGGGCTATATTAAATCTGAGCCCACACATAAGGTACCTTTCCGAAAAATATTTTAACACTGATAACTGGTCTTAAAAAAGAATATAAATTCGATATAACAAATTTTATTTAGACCAAAGTCCTTTGTCAAATTTTATGAGGATCAACCCATAATTGACCACAACACTATAGGATAGTATCAGAAAAAACGTATACACTCTCTTAAAGTATATCAAATTTTTTAACCGACATTTATTATTGGAACAATAATTGTAAACATATTCCAATTCTTAGGCATTAAATGTACAAAATATTTAGGAATATCGCTGTTGAATCCCTTATTGCAAAAAAAAAACACATATATAATTTGTCAATCAGTTGTCTGAACAATGCTTTGATTTTGGCCTACTGTGCATTTGTAGTTTTAACTCGGTATATATAAGCTGTGAAAATATACATGTCAAACAATAAGTTAATTTCATTCGGCTTAAGAGGAAACGAATGAAAAATGAATTTTGCCTACATTTACATAATTACTTACTCGTTTTTATTAATTTGGAAATTAATAATGTCAGTGCGATCGGTCAGTTATATACAACGGAGGCAAATAGAACATATTATATAGAAATGGACAGAGAGGTAAATGAAGTTCAATATAAATTTTAAATGAAGTTCAATATAAATTTGTAGTTAAATAAGAGGTGGTGTACTTAAAAATAATATTCTTTGGAATGACAGAACCCCGCCGAAATTCGGCCAAAATTTTGTAACCAAATATTTTTTTTAAATGCATAATTCTTGAAAAAATACATAAAATCAAAGCAGATCTATGATCACATGTAATACTAATCGAATAACAAATTTTCTGATTAATATTTTAGTTCACTTTTGAAGAAAGTCGAAATGAATGTTACAAAATGGACATGCAGTTAGTGGAAATTGGAACAAGTGAAAAATCTATGGAACTAACTGGGTTGATTGAAAGCATTGATGTCGATCTTTGGATTGGAGGTATTGCGAACGATGATGAGAATTTTATTTGGATTTCAACAGGTAATAAATTTACTTTCACCAATTGGAATTTCGGTGAGCCAAGTTCAGTGAGTGAAAACAAATGTGTTCAAATATCATTAAATGGAGATATAAGTTGGACTAACTGTAACTGCGAAGAGTTGAAGGGGTTCATTTGCGAATTTACCTATGAGAAAATACTAAAAGATCTAGAAAAAAACTTGCAAATAGGAATAGAAAATATTCGCAATCTACAAAAAGAACTTAAAGAACAAAAGGAAGAACATCAAGAGCAGTTACAAAAACTAAATGAACAAAATTCAGAAACACAGAACAAGTTAAAGGAGAATTTTGAAAAACTAGAAGAAACTTTAAAAAATCAACAAAATTTGGAAAATTTAAATGAAACAATATTAAATCTTGAAAATAATTTAAAAGCTGAAATAAAAAAACAGGAAAATCTTAAACAAACTGAATTAAAAAAACAAACAGAAGAACATCAAGAGCAGTTACAAAAACTTACGGAACAACATTTAGAGACACAGAACATTTTAAAGGAGAATTTTAAAAAATTAGAAGAAAATCTAAAACAAGAATTGCAATGTCAACAAAGTGCAGAAAACAATTTGAAAACACTAAAGGATACAAAAGATTTGGAACTAAGTGAACTGCAAAAAAATAATCGAAAATTGACTAATATATTATTTTCATAACATTTACTAAAATGTATTCTTAATAAAAATAACATAAATTGCATTAAAACAAACTCTTGTTTATATCATGGATTTATTGGTCTGGGAAATATTTATGTATGTATGGTTAAATATAGAAAATTTTTTAACTCAATGAAACTTACTTACATAAATCCACAAGTATTTCCTTTTATGGGGAATTAAATAAAATAATTTGTACACATTTGAATTTATGACACTTCGACTCAAAGGCATAGATTTAAAAGCATCGAACAGTTATTTGTACATTTTTGTTAATGGACATTTAATGGACAAACAAGTAACGGAATGTTCTCCTAAAAAAGTTCTAAATCTATCAAAATGATATATTTTCAATTTTATGTTTATAGATTCAGTATTACAGAAAATTTTAGAAGTACCTGTTTAAGAACAAAAAGTACCAAAAAAGTTGTTTATACTATTCTTTTGTGAGAAGTACTATTCATGTGCACAAAAAGTACGTTTTGAAAAAAGTACCAAATTCCCGAATTTGGTTCTAAGTATGGCTTGGAATCCCAGTTCCAAAGTGCACCTAAAATTGCCAATTTGTAAAAATTAATCAAAATTGGCTCAATAAGTTAAAATAAGTGTTAGTCTGGAATGTTATTTCCGGAATAACATCACTTCCGAGATACTTGGATCTAACTTCGACCAATGCTTGACAGTGGCAATGAAAGTGCTCCATAGTTTCACTGTCCTCTTCACATGCTCTACATTCGTCTGAATCCGCACGGCCAATTTTGTATAAATGTGCTCGTAACCTTGCGTATCCACTCAGAATACGTACCAACATACTAACATCAGACTTGCTCATTTTGAGAAGATATCTCGTCTTGTTCTCATCAGGGTCACCCTATAGGTTCTTTGTGGTTCTACCCATCGTTTCATTTTTCCAAGAGGCCTTATGGGATTCTCTCACCCATATTTTTAATTCAGCTTTTGTTGCGTCGAATGGTTTTGCGTTCGTCAGGTTAACCTCGAGCTCTCTTAACTTTAAAGCTATAACATTCACCCTTTCGTTGCCGACTACTCTCGAGCGGCCTGGTACCCATATGATGCAAATCTTACCTCTGGGAGAGTATTCAGTCATTTTGAGGAGATATCTAGTCTTGTTCTCATCAGGGTCACCCCATAGAATCATTATGGTTCTACCCATTGTTTTATTATTCCACAACGCCTTATGGTATTCTCTCACTCATATTTTTAATTCAGCTTTTTTTGCGTCGAATGGTTTAGCGTTCGTCAGGTTAACTACCTCGAGCTCCATTCCCTTTAAAGCTATAACATTCGCCCTTTCGTTGCCGACTACTCCCGAGTGGCCTGGTACCCATTTGATGCAAATCTTACCTCTGGGGGAGTATTCAGTTAAAGCTTTCATACAATCCAATGCGGTCTTAGATTTAATTGTATCATCTGATATCGCCCTAATCGCCTTCTGGCTGTCGGTAAATATATTAAAGGCTGTGGGCGCCATATTTATTCTAATCCAATTGTGTTATGATTAGGTAAACGGTGGTATATTTATGTTTCTGGGTCTGCAATATAGAACCCCAGGCCCACTTTATCCTACAATTTAGAGCCATCCGTGTAACAACGAATTCCTACTGGTATTTCCTCTGGGATCAGCGTTTCAAAGTGTCCGACATATTCTATGTCTGGTATGCGATCCGATGATTGTATGTGTATAACCTTCCAATGTGTACAGTATACATTGATGACGTGATGAAGCGCCGCCTCATATCTTAAATATGTTTCAATGGGTGGAATATCTAGCAACTTTTCCAGAGCCTTGGTTGAAGTATTACAAATGGCACCACTTATTCCCAAGCAGCATGTACGCTGAACTCCCTGTAGTAGTTTGATATTACACTTTTTGTCGAAAGCAGTCCACCAGATTATTGAAGTATAAGCTAGAATTGGTCTAATAACACTTTTATAAAGCAAATTTCATGCCCATAGTTTTCCTACATATCGCCCAGCACCGATGTGCCTTATTGATCTTCTCTATGTGGTGTCTCCATTTTAATTTCCGGTCGAGGTACTTAACTTTGTCTGTCACCGGTATCTTCTTGCCCAGGAAGCAAGGTTCGGTATATGTAAAAATGTTTGTTTTTCTTGTGAAGCAACAGATTTCTGTCTTCGTCGGGTTAACATTGAGGCCTCTCGGTTAAGCCCAACTCAAGGCCGTATTTAGAGCCTCCTCAGCTCTTCTATACAAGTAATTTGGATCGTTTCGCCTTAAAAGTATTACGACATCGACTGCGTAGCAGACAGGTCTAAGTCCTTCCTCGGTTAGGGTCTTTAGGTCGCTATTAATCGTGGTAACCCAGAGTAAAGGTGACCAAATGCCACTCCGTGGTATACCGCAAAATACCTTTTTCCTGATAGTTATATCGTATATATCGCAGCTTATCCATCTGTTCCTTAGCATGTAATTGATCTAGTTACGGAGCACCCGGTCAACATAAAACTGGTCTAGGGATTGGATAAGATAATCAATGTGCACATTATTGAAGGCGCCTTCGATGACAATGCATACCGCCAGTGTATACAGTTTGCTATCGTAGGATTTAGCTATGTAGTGGACAACTTCGTTCAAAGCGGTTTCCACCGATCGTTCCTTTACATAAGCATGCTGCTTAAACTTTTTTCAAAATACATACTAATTACATTAACGAATCGGGGAAGAGACATATTTTTCAAAAGCAACGCGATATACCAAAAATACAGCTAAATTAAACTGTTTTTTGATTTTCTGAAAACCTTGTTAAAACTTACATAGTATTATTGTTTAAAGCAGGGACGATAAACTTTCGATCTTTTCTCTTTTCTGGACGTAATTCCTTAGAATTTTCTTATCAGTGTTAGTGAGGCATATCTGGCCATGTGGGTTTTTAATTCAGACCTCGTTCCGTCAAAAGGTTTTGTATACTTCCTTAAATACCCTTTCCTTTATAGCAAGCAAGAATGATAAACTAATGATTATGCCTTGTGCATGATTTACCGTTAGATGACGTAGTCCTTCCCTTTTGAAGGTTTTCAAATATATTTTTGAAATGTGGTAAATAAGATCCAGAACATAGAAAAGCAAAAACAATATTTACGGGAAAAAACATAAACATGGAGCGAACAGTGGACAAATGCAATCAACAATAATATTAAAAAAAAACGAGTGAAAAATGTTTCTGCCTTCCTTTCTTTATATGATTTTTTACTTTTTAGTATTTAAAAAATTATTAAATATTGTTTACAAACGAAATTGCAATAAATAAATAAATTTATGAAAATAATGGTTACTATCTAATAATTTTTAGATAAAAATAATAAATTGTCCCACTGTTCCATTATAGTTGAAATTTATTAACCAATAGGAACACAGATTGTGTGACGTCAGAGCTCCTATATGCGCAGAAAGTTTTAATTATGTTCGCCTGACGACATAATCTTTAGTTTATCATTCTTGATAGCAAGTGCATTCGATCTCTAATTTCCGTTCGCCTGACGACGTAATCTTTAGTTTATCATTCTTGATAGCAAGTGCTCTTTAATTTCCGATAATCCGCCGAGTGAGCAGGTAAGAACTTCATTAAAAAAAATAAATTTTGTAAAATTAAAATTTCCACAAGATTTTACTGTAAAACACTATACGCTGCAGCGCTGCTTATTGAGGTTGTTAATAATAATAAAATAATTTTAAATCAAATTCGAAATAAACACTTGTACTATTGTATAATATTTGTGGTCAGGGGTTGATAACAACACAACAAATTAAGTTTAAATATAAACTGCTCCCTATTTATCGGAATGTATGTACCCATACCCTTCATAAAGTACTCATTAACAGCTAATTAGTATATAAGTATAAAAAAGAAGCTTCAACAGGTATCTGTGGTCCATTTTCTCCGCATCCAAGTTTCGAATTTTCTTATCTATGCAGAAGACAATTTTTCAATTGACACCTAATTTTGTCAAAAAGACTTTAAAAATATTTCTAGAAAACATATTTTCCCCAAAAAAATATAGTTCTTACTTTTGTGCAACTGAAAACATTTCAAACTTTTTTAAAAGTAATTTGTTAAAAAGGCATGTTGTACAAAACCAAAGTAAATTTGTACTTGTTGTATATATAAATTGTACTGTAAGTTGAAAATCGTTTTTTTTTTTTTTTGTCAAAGTCCTTTTGAATATATTTTGTAGCATCAAACATATGCAAAGGCGTGAGATTTTTACTTTAGCAGGTAAATTTATGTCAAAAAGTTAAGGGAAAAATCCTTTTTTGTGCATCTCATTGATACAAGTACATTCATTAAACAAGTCATTAAGATATGCTTTTCCTGATTGTTTCGTTTCTGTTTTTTATGAATAAAAAGTGCAAGTATACGTTTAATTTTTAATTCTCTCTTTCAGCTGGAAAATTTATTACTGGCCACAGTTTAGCAAATACGACTTAATCTGCTGCAATGAAGACAAAGACTAGAAAAAATATATGAGAAGGAAAATTGTTCCTCGTATACAGCAACAAAAAAAAAATTCTCTTTGTATAGCAAATTTTTGGGAAATTTTGATTTCTTTGGTGTTACTACATAAAAAGTAACAAGTATGTTTAATTAGTTATTCAAGAGATCCAAGAAATTTCAGTATTTTTAAAAATTGAAACGGGTACAAGCTTCAAAGCAACCTTAGAATTAGTGATGTCGATGTTGTGATGTTCTAAAATATTTTCAAAGAACTCCTCTAATTTTGGATCCATCGAGCTTTCAATAGTCTGATGTTCCTATATAACATATAGGATCATATAAGGCTAATAACTTTAAAAATTCACTTGAACACAAAACTTTTAATCGATAGAAAAGAAATATCAACTTTACTATAGATTCTTTCTATATAATCGACTCTATCGGGCACACAGAGGTGTTACTCTTAATAAATTATCCTGTGAGCACAACCTTATGAAGATAACAACAAGAGTTAAGTTTGCAAATAAGCCAAAAGGTGTGGAAACTGCGGAAATCTTCAAGATAACAT